ATATATATATATATATATATATATATATATATATATATATATATATATATATATTATGACCAATAATAATACAAACAACTTTTGCCTTGGAGGTATGGTCAAATTCGTAACCAAACTCGAGTTAAAAATCAAAAACCAATTTTTTTTTTATTTTTTTTTTTTTCGAATATGTTCGACCGAACACATTCGGGTGACATTCGGCCAAACACCCGAACATGTTCGGTGTGCTACACAGAATCGATCGAATCTCAAAATTCCCGAAGTGCGATGTCAAGCGCATCGGTCCGACATCTCATAAAAGGGACCCTCCCGGCCGCGTCACGCAGGAGTTGGTTTATATCCTTCGTCGAAAATATACATGGAGCTTCCGCAAGCCGCTTCGGCCGAGTGCGCCAGCCATACCTCCCGTGAGCCCCTACGACAGGATAGGGCCTACACGAGGCACGACATACCTCCACCTTACGGAAGCTATCACCTCCCTTCGGTGGGCGTATCCCGGCCGAGTTACCAGTCGACAGTACGAAAGCTGATCAGTTGCAATCGCAGAGGTGGACCAGCCGAGGGCGTTTCTCGTTCGCTGTAGCATAGGGGGTACGCTCGGTAATACGCCTCCGTCGGACCCGTACGCGAACCGACATCTTGGGGGGCTGATGTCCCAAGCGCGGTTCGTCATCGGTCGACTAGGACGCATCCCACACACCAAGCGCACACCACTCCACGAACCCAAAAATAAAACACACACACACACACAGCAAACAACGAGACAACACTCCTAGTCCCTTTAGTAGCCATCCCATAACTTTCTGATGCGGAAATTGAATGGGCGTCGCGCGCGAGACTTAGTATAAAAACCACGCGGTCGCAGGGCTAACTCATATCGACTCACAATGCAAGCGCACGCAGACAGTCGCAATGATGGCGTACCATGTAGTACCCATACTCATGCAGTCCTCGTTATTCTCGAGGGTCGCATTCGGCACTCAAGTGTCGACTGACACGGGCCTTGAGGGTTAATCTCTCGACGCTGGACAACAGCCATGCGCGGTTGAATACCACACACCCTCTTCTGCACTTTGTGCAGAGTGGGTGGTACACAGGTCCATACCTGTGGTGGCAGTCGTTTCTTACTGCCCTGGAGATGAGCCCCACTCCAGGCCTCGACAAAAATCAAGGGGTTTGACTTTGACGGCTGCCACGAACTACAACGTTCAACCACAAAAATCTCTAAAAAGCAAGAAAGAATAAGCCGAAGGTTCTCTTATTTCAAAAGAAATCATGGCCTTGAAGTACCCTCCCCCTTTCGGGTGGTGCCAGTCGCCTGTAATAATCCCAAGCGTTCGGGCATATGTGCGAGTTCCTTTGATCCCATAACTTTTAGATGCTAGGGCGGTGAAGCGTCGTGCGCAGGATTCTAGTATAAAGCTGCGCAGTCGCAAGTCAGTCATGTACCAACCAACGATGTCAGTCATACGTGGTAGTCGCGGTTCCGACCTCGCGATATTGAATGGTTGAAGGAATATATCGTGAGGGGTTACCCCACACGATATTGAACGGCTGAAGGACATGTCGTTCGGCCCTCGCGACATTTCTGCCTTCAGGGTAGGGTGTCTCGACGGACAGTGCAGATAGGCTCTGCGCGAGGGGGAATCCCTCCCCTGCAGAGCCTGGGGCTTGGGATGTCCTGGACAAGGACCTTGAATCCCGGCCCAGGACCAACGTCTGACTAAGAAAACCCCCCAAGAAGCAAATAAGAAAAAGGGAGGGTCTTCCCTATGCCTCTCAGTCTAAACCTCTAAGTAGACTTTTAGCACTGGGGCCACTTAGGCCACGCAAACATTCATCCCAGGTACACCCATGTACGCATACATAAAGGGGTAAGTATGTGACGATCACTTCTCACAGTCTCAGTAGGGTTCCTCACAACCATATGTATATATGTGATTACAGGCAATCAAATCCAGAATCTAAGTCACAGCACATACCTACAATCACATCAAAGAGTCAAACAACAGTCCACGCACTACACGGAGTCAACCCCAACCATCCTCGACACTCATACCCCTCGCTTTAGTCATGCAAACCCCAACCTCCTGTCCAACCAGCCTTAATTAAATACTAAGTACCTTTGTTAAATGGTCATTCAATAAAAGTTCGGGTGAAACCTTAATGAAACAATGAAATCACCAGGGCTAAAACCTTTTAGGTTGAGTGTGGAGGGTGAGTTAAAATTGAGTCGTAGACCGACGAATCGGCAACCAACATGTTATCAGTAATAACAGAAGATGATCCTCAAGGGATCAAGCTCAATCTAGTCCTGAACTTGAATCAAACGATCAAGAGGACCTGTAACACATGGCAGGTCAATGCCCCAAGCTAAACCTATAAGTCCATGGAGAACAATCTCCATATCATGATCTTACTCAAATCATCCTAGTTAACCATATCTAACCCTACCTCTAAGCAAGCGCCCAGAGAAAGGTAGACTCATGGCAAAATCTCCCCTTATTCAGAGTGGACTACCAGAATCGTCACCTGTCAAAATATAATCGATCTCCTTTAAACTAAGAAAATTTCGGCAGCACTTCCCGTAGGAAACGTGTCTTTTCAGAATTTATATAAGTCAAAATATGAAAGGAGAAACAATCTTTAACTCTAGAAAGTCAAATTTTATCTAACTCCCTGAATTAGTAAAAATTTGGGTAGCACTCTCTTTAGAAAGGAAGACTTCCGAAATTTATACTAAGTCAGATATGAACTCAAAAGACAACTTGAGTTCAACTTAGACAAGATTTAACTAATGCCTTAGTTTTTCAGAAATTTCGGCAGCACTCCCTCTAGAAAAGTGTTATTCCAAAATTTATACAAGGCTAAGTCCAGAATTGGAAAGTAACTTTGACTTCTCAAAGTTTAATTTTGTCTAACTTTCTGATTTAGCAAAAATTTTGGCAGCACTCCCTTTAGAAAATGAGGCTTTTCCAAATTTTTACTGGGTCAGATATTAAGAAAAGACAAGTTGAACTTTGGCAAGTCAAAAATTGACTAACTCCTTGGATCTGTAGAAATTTCGGCAGCGCTTCCCGTAGAGAAAGTAGCTTGCCAAGATTTATACAAAGCCAAGTATAAGAAAAGATCCCATAAAATGTGAAAATTGACCTAAGTAAAAAAAACTATCACAGAGAATGCAGGAATTGAAACTAACTCCTATCGCTCTAACACATGGCGAGCAACTAAAGCAACTACCTATCAAAACTGAAACTCAGACCAAGTAGTAACCTCACTCAGCCACATGCAGGTCAAACCACAAAGGTAAGTACTCTGACCATCCCAAGTTTATGTAGACAACAATAGTTCATAGTCTTTCAGTGATATAACCTTTTATACCCAGCTTACATAAGGCATAAAGTATGACCACCTAAACTTATGAAATGCGTCTAACTTAGTCATTGAATATACACAAAACAGAGGGCACAACTGCTTCTCTCTTCTTTGGGCATATAACTAAACCAATCTAGCCGCCCTGAACTGTTTAAAATATCCACATTATATATATTTGTCTTCCCTTTGTCTTCTAAGGCTGCATACGACTTAAGTTCAGTCTGCCCCAACTTACCACCAATTTTATTCTTAATTATACTCTCTTCAAGTTGTGATAGGCTATAGTCAGACCACCTAAACTTATAGAACAGTTTGAT